TGGGCTGTGAATTTGGACCATTTTTCCTGTTCAACAACTAACCTAATTAGAAATATTTCAGACTTAATTACAAGAACATCACCATATCAACGTGTTGGGGCATGGCTTCGACACTTAACCAACCCGTCAAAGGGTCACGTCTAGCCATCAAAGTCAACCAGCATTTGAACTTTCCTCTCCTTTCACCACAAAGCATGAGCATATATGCGTACGTCATTACAAATACCCAAAAATTCAACAAATTAAAATTAATAACTTTGTTCAATTACATATTTATGTTGATATGATATTCTATTTCTAATGACGTGTCTATTCTAATTTAATTTGTTAAGACATGGTAAAAATATTTATACAATGACTTTAAAGTGAAAAAGTAATATAAGATGTCTCACCATTGTCTTAACCTTCATATTTGAACTTCTAATCAAACATTAGAATAATTTATAATAACAATTCATATTTTATTTTATTTTCATGAACTAAATTATATAATAATTATTTATTTTTAATTTTATTTTTATAAAATGATTATTCTATTTCTACTCTATTCCCTTTTGCAAACAAAAAACACCCTTAGTATTAAATAAACCAAATTTCACATTAATCCTAATGAATACAAAATTTGAGATCCAACATACTTGCGCGGTACGTAGCCTTCCATATATCTTTTGAACAAATTATGTATGACTATGAAAAATGAGAAATAGGAAGAGAATAGAAGAAATTTGGCTTTGACGTGCGAAGAATACTTATTGTAAAGGTTATTATGTCTTTTCAATTCATAAACAGACAATGACTTGCTGTTTAAAGAGCATCCTATTTCGTTCGTTCATCAAACAAGTTCTAGCTATTCACCATTTTTTCTTTCCTCACCCTTTTCTCCTCCTCCGTTCCCTGTTCTTTTCTACCAAACACAGTTTATTGGAGAGAGAAAGTTGACCAAACAAGTAACATAACATGAGATTCAAAGGTCACTTCAATGGATAAGCATAACTCTATGTTGATTAGTGAATACAGTTTTGGAATATTAATTATAAACTATTTTGCCTTAGAAAACTTCTAGCCTTGAGCAAGAGTGGAATAAGAGCATAAAGCCGTAGAGCAGGGGGCAGAGGCCTAGCATGGCATCATGCTTATCTACTCGCCTGCAGGTTACATGTATACAGCCATTTGGTGCAGACTGCTGACCATGATCATTGTCAACTATACGTTCTGAGGGTTGAATATTGGTTTTGGAAAAAAAAAATCATGAAAAGTCATCAGTCCATTTTAAACTTTGAATGGGATTAAGCATGTCTGGAGGATATTGAAATAAACAGCAGGTAAGAAAATAATTTATATGATATGATTCGGCCACAGTGCCCCTCATCCACGGGAGAAAGATTCAAAAGCTTACATGTATTGCTGTTTTTCTTCAAAAATTCTAATAAAGTATATAAGAATTAACCCCTAATTCTTTAAGTGTTGTTAGAGAAATTATGAATAACATAATCAGAGAAGTATTAAGAATTATAATTTTTTTTATTAAGATTAAGTATTAAGAATTATAATAAGTTGATTATTCTTTAACTATTAAAATGCTGTCATAATTTAGAGGGAAAGTCCAATACTCCAACTTTTTCCAAGAGTTGTGCAATAGAAGGGCAAGAAAATACAAGGAAGTTGCCCGATGGTACAACTTATTGGGTTGCCCAAACTTGGCTTTCGTTTATAAATACACAATCACCTGTGAATTTAAAACTCATCACCTCCAATCCAACTTTATTCATCATAGCCGGAAATTTAACCGGTGAGGCTATTCCAGTGTTTCAATAGCGGTATGTGCTCTTCTCTACTGTCCTACTTTTTAATAATCCTAGCAGTGTCCCTGAGTCAGGCTCTTATTCGGGCAAGCTGCTTGGAATTTAATTTTTCATCCTTCCAGAAAGAAAATGAAAGTTCGCTCATCTTGAGCCAGAATTCTTATATAGTCAATGAAGCCATCCAAGTTACTCCGGATTTTAATGGAGCTCCCATAGTAAATTTCTCAGGACGAGCCTTATATGGGAAACCCTTTAGGCTTTGGAAAGGCAATGGCACCAGCGCTTCCTTTAATACAACTTTCGTCCTCAATATCCAAAAGCGAACGTCTCCTGGCGGTGAAGGCCTGGCCTTTGTAATAACCGCGAATTCTGGTCTTCCAGAGAACAGCGAAGGACAATGGCTTGGGATTGTAAATTCGACTTTGAATGGTCTTCTCAAGCTAGCGTGGTGGCGGTGGAATTTGACACAAGGAAGAGCTACGCTGAAGACTTGGATGGAAATCATATTGGCTTAAACATAAACAGCATCGACTCAATCGAGCAAGTGTCTTTAACCAGCTACGGTTTTAACATTTCAGGAGGTGTGGATTTAAGGGTACATCTTCAATATGACGGTGAAAACTTGACAGTTTTTGTGGGGGACAACAAGACTCTTGTGCTTTCTCGGCCTCTTAATCTCTCTACGTATCTTCCCCAGAAGGTTTTTGTTGGATTCTCTGCTTCAACAAGCAATGAGACAGAACTAAACTGTGTCAAATCGTGGGCATTTTTTGGAACAGATATCGGAGGAGGTCGAAATTTGTTGTGGGTTTGGATCACGGTTCCGGTAGCGAGTCTGGCTCTGTTAATCGGGGTTGCCTTTTACTTGTGTTGGAGGAGGGTACCCACGGAGGAGGATTTGGAGGGTGCACAAGGGAACATAGAAGATGAGATTAAACGTTCCAATTTGGCTCCACGAAAGTTTCGATTGAAAGAATTGAAACTAGCGACTGGCAATTTTAGCCCAAAGCACAAGCTTGGGAAAGGTGGGTTTGGAACTGTCTACAAGGGATCCTGGGGAAGCAAGGACGTAGCTGTCAAAAGAGTATCAAAGAAGTCACATCAAGGCAAGCAAGAATTCATAGCAGAAGTAACAACAATTGGCAACCTCAATCCAAAAAAACCTTGTGAAGTTAATCGGATGGTGCTATGAAAGTCGCGAACTCCTTCTTGTGTACGAGTACATGCCAAATGGAAGCCTTGATAAGTTCATCTTTTGGGACGACAAGGCAAGCATGGAGGAATCAACATTGAGCTGGGAGCAAAGGCTAAGCATAATAAAAGGAGTGGCTCAAGCACTAGAGTATCTTCACAATGGTTGCCAGAAGAGAGTGCTTCACCGCGACATAAAAGCCAGCAATATAATGTTGGATTCAAATTTCAACGCGAAGCTAGGTGATTTTGGATTGGCTAGAACGATTCAAGAAAAAGAAAAGACACACCACTCCACGATTGAGATTGCTGGCACACCTGGTTACATGGCCCCAGAGACCTTTCTCATTAGCAGGGCCACGGTTGAAACGGATGTTTATTCCTTTGGTGTTCTTATCCTGGAAGTCGTTTGTGGGAGAAAGCCCTGTAACCAAAGTGACAAGAATAGCTATAACAATAGCATTGTCAATTGGCTGTGGGAATTGTATAGGAAGGGAAGGATCACCGACGCCGCGGATTCCAGGATGGATGGGAACTTTGCGGAAAAAGAAGTAGAGTGTGCGCTCGTTCTGGGATTGGCCTGTTGCCATCCAAACCCACACTACAGGCCTTCTATGAAAACTGTTTTGCAGGTTCTTACAGGGAAGCAGATCCCCAGAGGTACCCCAGGAAAGGCCTTCGTTTGTGTGGCCAGCCATGCCCCCATCTTTCAGTCGAATCGATAACTCTCTTACAGGAAGCCAACTTACTCCATTTACAGACCTTACTGGTAGGTAAAATCCTAAGCTAGCGCAAACTGCCTGAGGAAGTGAAACAATGTTAATTATTTCATGCTTGTTTCATTGCTTGCTTTTTGTTTTATCTGTTTAGTCTATTAGTAGACTGTGTTTGTAAATACTGTAATAGTGTTAAAGTCTCTGCTATGTTTTACCCTTTTAGGGTTTCTTTTGGTCAGGCGTTCTTTAGACGTCTGATCAAGTATTAAATATTGTGCTAAGAGGTGTTTCATCTTAACATCGAGATAGTCAACATCAACTTATGTATCGATCTTAGTTATATTTATTTTCTACATAGGTTAGCTGTATATATATTATACAACTTTGAAAATGTCAGGCTGACCAAAAGACTAATTCCAAAACAAAAGCGTAAGTCGTTGGGAAACAAACGCCATCAACAATTTAATAGTGCCAATTAGCAGCAAATGACTAGCAAACATAGACAATAAAGTGGGTCAAAATAAAAAAATTAACCAGAAAGAAGTAAGCCGAACTGTGAACTTAATTACAAATGTAGTAGTATATTAATAGATCCACTTGCAAAGTTTCTCTTCGGCTGCATTAATGCTAAAGGAAGTATGGAACTAGATTCTGTACTGCTTCAATAAACTAGAGATTTGGTGATTGGTATTATGACCAGAACGAGGCTGTTGACTAAATTGAGGGACAAATATTTCCTGTTCTTCGTAACCTTACAGGGAGTAGTTTTATTTACCACCTGACGGAGGGAAAGTGTCTCCAAAAGAATTTCCCAGAACCAAATGACGGGCAGGGGCCTGCATGGCTACTTAATCAGGACCGAGGGGACCATGGACCTCCGGAATCTCCGAATCCTACATTTTGGTATTGCAAATCAGGCCAATTTCAAAAGGCTTGGAAATATTGGCCCCAAGACTGCTAACGAAGAGCTGTGAGTGTAAATATCAGCTAACCCGTCTGGTTTAAGTACGGATTATCATCTCTTCATTGAGAAAAAAGAAAGAAAGAAAATATCTCACATCCCTGATCAATCCAACTCAAGTATCAAACCCTTCATTAAATATCTTGTATTTCGATACTATCACAGACATTTAAATTCCCAAAGGCTCAAGAACTTTAATAATGGATTTAAATTCCCAAAGACTCAAGAATTTTAATAATGGAAAAATCTATACTATATATGAAAGAAAGTTCCAATAAGAAAGCTTTAAGAGGGGTTGGGAGGTTTGAACAAGGCTTTCAACGGGAGGGATACGAACTGGACAGCCTGTGTGGAACGCAAAGGTTTACTGCTAGTAATAATAAAGGGGATCTCAAGTCTCCATCCCAGAAAAGACGGTAAACTAATAGTGGAGTGAATCAACAATAACATGTAGCTATCTCAAGTCAGTGCTAGAATTCCTTATCCTAAGCGGTCATTGATGCACATTATTTTTCTTTGTGGAAACTCTGTCACTGGTCCATTCTTCGATTAATTCAAGGTTCATGGAATCCATCATTTAAAACAATGTCTTCATCTTATTCAAAATAAATTGGCATATATCGCCATTTTGTTACTTATTTTCCCCGTCCTCGTTCCACCTTTGAAACAGCTATCTGTACTTTCTATTCGTCTCTTCTTTCCTCGCATGGAACAAACATGTCGGTTTAACTCTCACACTTTATTCATAAATTTGTGGCAATCATACCTTCAGTATTTTCATAAGAGACCTAAAAGCCAAACTGACCACAGGTTACGGAAGGAAAACTGATGACATAACCAAAGGATTAGTCAGGAAAACTGAAGTACTTGCATAAAAAAGGATGGTAACTCAGGGTTTGGGTTTTGCCCACATACCATCTGATAATACAACCAAATGCAAAATTCCATCTAAAAGACAAGTTCATGAGGTTTCATGCCAGACTTCAGCGAAAATCTTGCGGCAAGGTACGCTTTCAAGTCTGGGACTCCCTCAATGGACTTTATCAAAGAGGCATCAACAGCTTTCTGGTCTTCTTTCTTGTCATCTGGCAGTTTCCTCTTATCCTGCATTTTTTGAGGAAAAGTAAAAGAGTAGATAATCGGCACATTTAATTAAATGAACCTGATTAGGACTGCTTAAGTTATAGTAAAAAGAAGGAAAAACTAACTAACCTCTTTTTCAGCTTCAAAAAACTCTCCCTCACCCTTCTTCTTTTTTTCTACTTCCTTGGCAAAGTACTTGTCATCAAACCTCTCTACATTAACTCCTGAGATGTCAACCTTAGTGGAAGTAGCAATGACATAGGATTGGTTCACACGCCTTAAAGGAACACCATTAATCTTGAAAGGTCCTGCAATAAAATGAAATTCCCAAATTTAAGCAAAGCACTGGCACAAATCATGACAGAAGCTCAAAGAGAAGAGAACCACTGTTTATGATGAACATCCAACACATAATGATAACCCCGCCACATATACCACAAGAGGCAAATGTAGATACCAAGCACAAATCAGAAAAATACAAGTAAAGCATCAAGTTTTTAAGATAGCAGCACTCAATTTCCAGCATATTGAATTTGGAATGGGTTCTGCTATAACAGTGTCTAACCTATATACATGAATATCTCAAAACTTAAAAGTACAAGTACGAAAGTTATAATACAACCTTGTGCTTCTTCTAGAACTAAAACAAAATCTATTGAAGCATTCATACCACTGCTAATACTTACGAAGACATATTGTGGCATAGAGAAATCAATAAGAAAGATTTTATCACAATTGTCATACACCCAATTTGTTATCGAATTCAGCGAATCATTCTTTATTGGGTTAAGTATTAGCTGCAACTGCTTTAAATATACATTTGCACAGTTACTGCTTTCATTTCTTCAACAAAAATTCCATATAATCATTCAGCAAAAGAACAGTGCCAATAACAGACATTGGACAGCAGTAAAATATGTAAAAGAAAAAAACATGCTTCAGATAAACGAAAGTACTATGAGATAAAACAAGAGAGGAAAAAGAAAATCTTACCAGTAACCAAAAGAAGCCCAGATGTAAGTTGCTTCAAGAAAACAACTCTCTTCCCCATAAACCTCCCAGCCAACAAAATCAACACTGTCCCTGGAGTAATGCTCGTTCTAAACAAATAAAAAAAAACCATAAAAACAAACCCCAACAATAAGAAACTTATCATCAGAGATCTGTAAAGAAAAGAAAAAGAAAATCATTTCAGTAGAGAACCTGAGCTTGGTGGGTTTAGGCTTGCGCTTATTAAGAAGGGGCTTTTTGACATCATCAGCGGGGTAAAACTTGGGTACCTTCTCGGCTGCAGCGGCTGCCTTAGGCTTGGGGTCATGGCGGGGGAGGACACCGCCGTTTTTGGCCTTGATGGCCCAAAGGCCACGCTTGTGGTACATCTTAGACCGAGAATACTTACCTACGCCACGTATCAGATCAGGGTTTCGAGTCTTAACTGGTGTTTTCCTTTTCGCCGCCATTTCCTCGCTAAACCCTTTGCTCTGCTGCTCTTCTTCTTGTGACTTTTAAGATTGCAAAAGTTGATAATAACAGAACTCTAAAACCCCACTTTCCTCTGCTGCTGCTGCTCTCAGGTCGCTAAGAACAGTACTCTGAAACGCTTGGTATTGCAAAACGATAATTTTTTTTCCATTTTTTGTCTAGGCCTTTTATTGGTCGGGCTAGCGCCCGGGTGCCTTTCTTTGCTTTGGGTACTTCGATATCACGTGCAAGGAATTAAATTGTTTCAGAGGTGATTGGTTTTAGCAATTTTAAAATAGTAAACACCATTTACATCCATAAGATTTATTATCCTTGATTTTATATGTTGAATAACCTTCTTGCCCGTTTTCTGATCAACTACGCATTGAGAATATTTTCTCTTCCTGTCACTACATAAACTCTTCTCAGTTCCAATTTTGAAAATAAGCCAATTCTACCAACCGGTTAACCAATTTTTTCTCCTTATAGAAATAAGTTTTAGCTATGTTGATTTTGATTGAAGATGAAAAACACCAATGAAATTTCCTTTCAAATGGTTAGTTTTACCTAAATAAAACTTATTCAAAACATGCATTCCCAAGATTTCTATATTACACTTGGGCAAAATCTCTGTAGTTATCAAAATTTTTGTTAGAGCTTTCTATTGAATGGTGCAGAAAATAAAATATTTTCTATATGTGCCATGCATATATGTAATATTTGGCTAATAAAATGATTTGTATCATTTCAAAGGTGAGGCCTTGAAGAGAACAGTAGCGACAATGTAAGCTTTTGATGAAAGGTTCTCATGATTTAGATGCTTGTGAGAGAAGGAAAAATGTTGTATGTTGGTGAAATTCAGGGGTTATCGAGGTTCTTTCATGGTAAAGTCAATTACTGTTATGGACTTGATGGCAACACGCATGCGTTGGCCACTTTTGGAATCATATATTCGGCCATACCTAATTCTCTATGTGTAGTCGAGGTAGTTTTGAGAAGAATTATACTTGGAGAGTTGTTAGAGGTGTTGGAAAGTAAGTGTAATTGAAGAGTTGCAATTAAGTGTAATTAGTGGAAGAAGTTTAGAAAATTTAAATTTTAGAAAAAATAGAGATTTATTGAGTTTTAGGGTACTTAGAACGTGAAATTTTATATGATTAAAATTCTAATATGTATATAATATTGAAAAATTGTATCTACTTTAAACTTTTGTATTATGAAAGAGGGTTATTAGGGTTAGAAGATAAGTATTGCTTTTAAAAGCTTCAAAGGAACATTTTGTATCTTTGTCTTTTATTATGAGACTTTAGGCGGAGTTAGAGTTAATTTGAGTGTATAATTCTTGTAAAGCTATTAAAAAATGTAAAAGGGTCTTTAATATTGAAAGTTTTGATTATATTTTAATGTCAGAATTAGTTCATTTCATAGACTTTAAATTAAATTATCAAATAAGGTAAATCTTGTATTTTTCTGTTTAAATTTTTTTGAGTTATCTTCCTACTTAAATAGTAAGGTTCAAATCTTTCTCTTTCAATTATAAAAAATAAAAAACTTCTATTGAATTTTATCTTTTATTATTTATTGAACAATTTTCATAACACATACCATTTTTCATTAAGCAATCAAAGGTTTGACACGTTTGGCATTGGAACTTATGACGGAATTTTGTCAACACATAAATTCTTCCATATAATTCCAATTTTGAAGAGCACCCATTCTCCCAACCGGTTTGATCACTTTTTCTCTCTTTAAAAGGAAATTTAAGCCATATAATAATATAATAATATGAACTTCGTTTCAAATTGGAATTATTTAGATGAATTTATGTACTGACAAAATGAGAAAAAAAAAGTTCGTTTAATGATATCAGTAAGCCTAAAGAGCTTGAAAAGCCCACGAAACCCATCTTTAAGGAAATGCTTATATGGCTTTATTTGTTTAATGAATCATGTTTAACAAATATTCCAATCCTTTGTATCAACACAAGTTGTTCTTCTAACTTAAAAAGTCTTTAAACTTTCTAAACTCTCCCTCAAACTTCAAAGTAATCGCATGCACTGTAACCGGCACTGTTTTACAATTGACGTAGTGTGTTAGTCGGTCTCCTAGCAACGACAACCTTTCATAATCACTCACTAATCAAGTTCAAAGTTCAAACATTTCCTAGCAATTTAGAAATTATAATATATATATATATATAACCAACGGCGTGCAGGATTAGGCAGTCTCAAACACAGATCGGAGACCAGTCTTTGAGCTATACGGTCCACATATCACCTAATATACGGTCCACAATTTTCATTCCTTACAGAACTCAAGCCATGATTTCTTGTAAATTAACCTTCTCAGTTCCATTTGACTCTACAGAGAGATATACCTTTCCGGTTCTTTTCGTTTTAGGTCTACCTCCAAAAGGTTCCGTTTCAATGGTTGCAAAGAGTTTATGAACGTTTTTTGGGTAGTTAAAAGGGTAAAAAAGAAATATACCCAAACTTCCAAAGACACAAATAATTAGATGGATCATGCCCAACTCGACACGGCCCGTTAAATAATAGTATTGGGCCTGGACGGCCTGTTAAAACACGGGCTGATTGATTTAGCGAGCCCACTACCCCTAATTAACACTACAGATTGTTCAACACTGAGCATGGCGCCTTGACCATTTGAGTTGGTAGGTAAAGCTGGTTACCTCGAAAAGGAAAAAGTCGTGCCTCCATTCTGTGGGAACGGACCACAAATCAAAGAGCTCATAATTAATCAAACGTTCCGATTTTGACCTGATGATTCAATGATGTAGACAAACCGTCTAAAGGAAATTAAAACGAAGTTACATTCCAAGTTGTCCAGTGTGGAAAATAGATGGGAGTAATATTAATTAATAGCCATAAAGTAGAGCACGTGGATCCAATGAAAAACAACACGAGCTAATAATATATATTGGAATTTAATTTTTTAAATGTAACATCATATGCAAATATTATTTGGTCAAATACTTGGTACTAATAATGGGGTAGTTTGGGATGGCATTGACCATCTTTTGCTTCTGAATACCCAAACTTGACCTGATCTATCATTGGACAACAATTAAAAATTTATGAAGCAAGTAAATTAATTAATAACGTATTTGTTAACAATAATCATCGTTTATTTAGTCCACAAGTGTTTCAAAGGACAGTAGTTTAATTTTATATTTTAAGATCTCTTGTCCCTTTGACAGTAGCCTGGCCAACGACCCATCAATTTGATCACTTTCTGATCGTATTTACGTACACAGCACAAGTCAGCTGTACCGAACGCGCAAGCTCAAATCGGGACGTCCGTGTAGAGTCGCTTTCAACTTTCTACCTTCTATCAAATCGTTTGGCATCTTTTGTGTTCGTACAAAACTTTCCTATTTATGGTATAAAAAATTATTATTTTCTAAATGAATCATATAATTTTTAAAATTTTCAAATGAATTTATATATGATAATTATTTAGTCATTTAATAATTATGTTATTTTTTTTAATTATAACTTACTTACACATGTAACAAGTACGTCCACCTACACAGGTTAGTTGAAGAGGAGAAGGAAGACTATTTTTTCCTTATCAATTAAGGTTCGATCTTTGTAAAGAGAATTTTGAAAGTAAAATCCTGAATACATTGAAGTGGTGTAGAATTTAAAATTATAAATGAAAAAAACAATTCTCTAAATTTAATTCGTAAATTTTACATTGAGTGTTCCTAAATCAAGAAGCTTTTTTTATAATAAAAAATAAAAATTCCTGCTTGGAATAGTAAACCGTCTATGTTTATCTTTTGAATATTTAGGTGCTATAATCTGAAAATGTCATTATCAATGAAGTTTCTCTGCTGATTCTAATATTTTCTATAAAGAGAATACAGTAGTGTAAGTAATTTAATTGTAGCATCCCATACTGAGGAGGCAAAAAGCAGGGATTCTTGGCTGTCCAGCACTCAATATGGAAGTAAAAGCAAATGAATGATTGGATACTTGGACTTTGTCAATGGAGTGAAACTTGGAAAAATCCTCTAGTTAGGCAGCAAAGAGGAAAGAGACATGCGAACTAGCCAATTCAACTATGGTTGAATGTATCCCAATTTAATATTAATGGCTGGCTTGAATGACTATTTTAGTTTGAATTTGGAGAATTTTAATTAGACATAATATTCAAAAAGAATTTTTAAATTATTTTAAAAAATTTAAATAAATTTTTATATTTTTATTATATTCAAATAAATTTTTATATTTTTATTTTGAGTTAAATTAATTTTTAAATTTTTATTTTAAATCAAATAAATATTCGTAAGTAATGAGTAATTTAATTAAAATATTATTTATTATTTTATATTTCGTTGAACTAATGTGATATGTTAAAAAATTAATATTGATAATGATATGAGATATTAATATATTATAATTGACGATGATATCATATGTTAATTTAATATAATAAATAATATGATATTTTTTATATTTTACATTAATATCATATCAAGTGTGGATATAGAATGATAAATAATATTTTAGTTAAATGATAATTAATCAATCATTAATTATAAAAATTTATTTATTTTAAAATAAAAATATAAAAATTTAATTAAATATAATAAAAAATAAAATTTTATTTAAAATTTTTTTAAATAATTTAAAAACTTATTTGAGCATTATATCATTTAACTTTTAAGAGGATGGTGGGATTTCAAGCCCATTTAAGGTGTCTTATGTTTACACCTAAAATTAATTTAAAGCTTTTTTTTTTTCTTGAAGATTAAGTCTTTGCTTGTCCAATTTAGCGTTCAGAGACGATTACCAAGTGGCTTTCTGATTCAAGTCTCAACCTTCACCAAAAGTTACATTAAGTTTCGACGAAGATTCTTTCGTCTATGAACAACTTCATCTCTCAGAGTGACCAAAATATCGCCAGTCATAATACAAAATCCTCCATTATTCTTCACTGCCTCAAACTTATTTTGCCAGGCATCAAGAGAATCTCGTTAAATCAACCCTGTTCTTTCCTTATTCAATTGCAGTATGGCTACTTCGCCGGTATTCAAGCTTTTATTAGTTTTAATTGCCCTCTTTGGGGCTACTTGCACTAATGTTCATTGCTTCTATTTTAACTTTCCGGACTTCCAGGATGAAGACAGAAAAGATCTCGATCTGAGTGAGAATTCCACT